CATACAACCTACGACAATGCATACGGTAATTTGGAGGCCAAAATTCGATCCGCCTATAAAGTGAAATGAGTCTCGTATGCTAAAATCATTTTTCTAGTAGAGTCTCCTTCTTGCTTCGTGTTCATGGCGGCGTATGCTGCAGGGTTCGGCGGCGAGCCGCTGTTCGCGTGCTGCGGCGGCGGCGGGGGCCGTACAACGTGAGGCTGGCGGCGAGGTGCGGCGACGAGGGGACGGCGGCGTGCGGCGAGCCGTCGGAGTACGTTTCGTGGGACGGGATACACTACACGGAGGCGGCCAACAGGGTGATCGCGCGTGGCATCGTGGAAGGGCGGTACACCGTGCCACCGATATCCTTGTCCGTATCTTCGAGCGATTGAAAAAAACATGCCCGAAATTTGGAGGGATTTTACGGGTTTTTTAAAAAAGTGCCACGAAGGTACGAGCGTACGGCTCTAAGGGAATAATTAATGATTGTGCATCCATTAGTCAATTATGTGTGTGATGATGATGTCAATGCAAAGGGGAAAAGAACATTGTTGTGTGATGGGCTGATGGCAATGTTTTTGTTTCCTTTGTATAAAATGTACTCCCTCCTTCCGTATTATAAGTAACTAGGAAGGCAACCCGCGCGGATGCGCGGGAATCTTGTTGATTGTTTTTATAAAAAGAATGTGAAAAAAAATCATATTGATATTAAATGATAGGAATATTTCTCAAATTGAAATAAAAACACTTTTACCGAGTAACATATAAATCACTACTATCTCCGTCCCAAATTAATTGTAATTCTAAGTTATTTAGCATATATTAAGGTTTGAGAATAAAAACTATAGTACCCCTTATTAAACGGTTCATATGTAAGAATGAAATAGTAGTTGAGAGTAAAATAAGAATAAATTTGGATGAGATGTGTTAATGGGTATCATTAGTACTCTACTGTGACAATTATTTTGGGACAAATTCAAATCCTAAAAATACAATTATCATGGGACAAAGGTAGTACTACTTATTTTGTTTTTAAAGCTGAGAAAGATGAAGTTGCATATGCGCCAATAAAATAATCACAATACATCATTAATAAATTACAAATATCCACTACTTGGTTTTCATGTCTCACTTATTTGTAAATCAATACATAAATATGGTAAAAATACCGTTACTTCTACCCATTAATGGGATAGCACCATTAAAGTTAAACATGAATGCTACTCTAATAGATAAAACCGATCGTAGCCGCCAAGACTTTCTTTCTTTATTGCCTTGAAATATGGTCCTGCATCAATATAGTTGTGTTCCTCAAGATCAGCTTGGATCACAATTTTAATATCTAATTCATGATTGCATGCTCATAAATTATTACATCGATAAGTACGAAGCTGAGCACTATTAGCTATCGCGGCCACCTTAACTTAGTCGTATGTTCCATGCTATATACCTATATAGCGAACTCTGTTGTTCATGCTTGGTGCCCTTTAGGAAAGGACAAAGAGAAGATGGAGGTGATCAAGATAGTTCTTTTTATTGTTTTCAGTGTATTTGTGGTTTAGTGTAGACACAGTTTGTTTTTGGTATTCATCATTATTACACAAATTTTTATCATATAGATAAAATACTCACTATTGAAAACGAGTGAGGTTAATCATTCGATGATATTTTAAAAAATTAAAATTAAATATGCATAACACCACGATAATATCCAGAGCACCATATTATTGATTATATTTTAACAAATATCTATAGTTTAGTGTCTATGTTTTAACCTCATAGTCACGTCAGTGAAGTTTATGGCATATATCCATTAATTATGCCTGAAATATTGAAATTTCTTAAGTATAAGAAAATATATTATGAGTAGTTTATTATACATGTTGTTTCACTCTTCATTTGTGTTAAAAATATTTGGCAAAAAAAATATGTGCCCATAGGTCTCATAATGGATTATAGCAAGATCTTTGGCAGGAAATATTGTTGATAGTTTTTTTTATATCTATGCAGCATGTATGCTACCCACTTCTCAAATACCAATTAAATAGTTCTGAAAATATCCAAAAAAAAATACTTTGAGAATCTTAATCTCAAACAAATTACAATTAAATCTCAGACATACTTTAAAAAACATAACTAAATTGTGATGTTTTCATTTTTTTTAATATGTAGATTTAAATTAGATTGTATATTTGTGTAGTGATATTTCACACCCTAAAATATGATGTGAATTTGTTTTGAAAAATTATCATACAACTAACTATTATATGTCGGTCCAATGTGTCGTGATGTATTTAAGATCACAATATAAATTTTATAATTTAGTTTAAATAATACATCAGGATCACAAATTAGATATCTGATCTAAAATAATTTAAAATACAGTTTAAAGAACGTTGATTGGATATTTTTTATATTTTATTATAGATCTTAGTTTAACTACATATTTTATATTTCTGAAGTAATATATTTTATCTTTATATTGTAGAAAAAATCCTATTTTAAAGAAGGTTAATTTTTTTCCCAACAGTATCACATACGTATGTTTTTTTTGGCTTTGTCCTTTTTTATCTACGTGCTTTTCTTCCCTTCCGTCAACAGTAGGTAAGGTCATTATATTATATTGTAGGAAAACAATATTTTAAAGACCGTCAATTTTTTCCCCGATGGTTTCATGGTCGCATGTTTTTTAAATCTAAAAGTAATTTAAAAGATGGTTTAAAGAATGTTGATTGGATATTATACATTTTTATTATAGATCATAGGTTAACTACATATTTATATTTGTGAAGTACTCCCTCTATCCCATTATAAGTGCAGCTAAAGTTTCCGTGCCTAATGTTTGACCGTCCGTCTTATTTAAAAATTTATGAAAAAATTTTAAAAGTTAAGTCACACGTAAAGTACTATTCATATTTTATTATCTAATAACAACAAAAATACTAATCATAAAAATATTTCAAATAAGACGGATTGTCAAAGTTAAACACTAAAACCCACAACTACTCTTATGGGACGGAGCAAGTAATACAGATCTTTATATTTTGTAGAAAAAGCTATTCTAAAAACCGTCATTTTTTTCCCTACGGTACCATAGACGCATAGTGCTTTCCTTCCGGTAAATCAATCGTAAGTACGAACGGTAACGGTAGTACTGTTTATATTGTATATGCAGGAGGAAGCTATTATTTTAATAATAAATCTAATCTAATGATGTAAAATAACGGGTCCACCAATTTAAGTGAAAATCGACGGTGAGATTTAACTGTGCCTGTAGGATCGAATCACAATAACTAAGCCAACAGAGGGGGTGAATGGTTGGTATACCCAAAAACCTAAAACCTAAAACTTTTAGCGGAAATAAAAGTTACCCTCGAAATCGACGGATCGCGGTCTGACTGAAGGTGTTGCGCCGGTCTAACCGCCTGATGAACGTCGGTCTGACCGATGTAGATCGATCGGTCGAACCGCCGAAGTCGCCTGTCGTGCCTGTCGCCGCCGCCGGTCTGACCGGCCGTATGTCGTCGGTCTAACCGCCGCTTGCCACCAGTCTGACCGCCGGTATATCACCGGTTAGACCGCCGAAATCCAGTAAACACAAATCGAAGAACTCTTAAAGTAGATGACGACTTTATTGATTCTCTCTGTGTTTACAAAGTGCACCAACAGCACTCCTTGCAAAAATTTCGACTAAACTCGAAACCCTAACTCAAAACTCAACTCAATTGCTCTCAAAAGCGATACTGGGAAGCCTCACGCTCCCCCTCTATTTATACCCGAGGTAGGCAGCCTAAAGCCACGAACCAAACTCATACTAGGAGTCCTAAACACCTTAGGAAACCCTCTAGTACAAGAAACAAACTTTACATAACCAATCATACCAAATTTGGACTCCTTCCAAATTCGACTCAGCATCCCATACGCACACAATACCTCCATCGTATGCCATATGGAATCTCCATCAACCACATGCATCAACTCTAGCCTAAGTATCCCGCATGATCTCTGACCACCACGGACGTCGTCTTATCCCCAAGCCGACTCTTGGTCCATCACCGCAAATACTCTCCTGAGGCATCGAGTCACCTACACATGAAATAAACAAAGAAACCATATTCCGAGACTAAGTTATCTCCAACTTGACTCATTAGTAGCAAACAACAGTATTACATACGGATATCCAAACAAACAACCCGAAACTGAAACCGACACAGAGTCGGCCGGTCAGACCGCAGGCTGGCCGGTCTGACCGCACGCATACTGCCGGTCTGACCGGCAACACCTGCCCGGTCTGACCGGTCACATGAAATAAAAGTACCTGCGATTCACCTGTAAATTCAATCATCTCCAAAACCACTTCGTGAATAAATTCCAAATAACAAAACCAATAATCTCCAATGCCAATTGTTCATCACATAATAATAATCAAAAACACCTTTGATTTTACAGTGCCATGTGGCGGCTTGAGAGCGTTTGTAGGAGTGCCACATGGTGGCTTTGGAGCGTTTGTAGGGAGTTTAATAGATTTTTAGTATATAATAGATTTTGGATGGGTTTGTCAGATTATTTAAGGTTTAATCAAGTTTATATAAAAAAAAGATAGTATTATATTCAATAATGGATTTAATGAAACTAATTTGGTGTTGTAGGTGTAGTTAAAAGTTTGATTTAAAATAAACTCGAAATGACTTGTAATATGAAACGAAGGGGCAGCATTTACTCTGTTCTCTTAGTCACTCTGTTCCGAATGGACAATTGAAAAAAAAATATGCAAGCAACAGACCAACCATAACCACAATAAAGAATGCAGCACCAGTTTGCTTGTTGTCTCAAGGTTTTGATGTACTCCTACAATAATTGCATGCCTTGTCCAGTTAATTGTACAGCTTTTAAATAATTCGTGCGCAGTCTTGTGTAGTTGTAGTTATGATAGTGCCATCGGAAGTTTCTCAGGGAGAATCTCTTGATCCGCATGGTCAAAGCCGGCATTAAAAAAGCACTGACAGAGACAAAGGTGGTTTCAAAGTGTATTCATTTGTCAAATGTATCTCTGTTGAATTTTTGTGCTGTATGCTAGAGATGAAATAATGCTACCGATGCTTCACAAGGTCTGTTTGTTTGAATGCTACAAGTCTGGGTGTGCTATGGCCACCATAAAGGAAATAGCACATGTTTTCTACAGATGTATGAGAATGCTATGAATATACAATTAATCAGTTATACATGCCTTCCCCAGTTAATTACACTGCTTTAATAATTCCTGCCATGTCTGGACTCTTGAGTTAGACTTGACGAGGGCCATGAGAAATTCCTCATGGGGAAATTTGTATGCTGGTATAGACAAGCACCACCAATTTGTTGAGATAAGCTTCTGACCTTCAGCTTCCTTGCGTGCAAGTACTCAATGGCAGTTTTCTACAGTCTACAGAAGCTAGCATGGGTATTTCTTTCTGGATGTTCTGTCAGAAAATAACTGTAGCACAATTACTTATCAAAATGTTATACGGTTCAGGAGGTTTAGTGGTCTAAAACTTTTAACATAATCTAAAATCTGTGATTTGATTCAATCAAGTACAAGCATACTCTTATGTGCAGCAGACATACTCTTGAGTACTTGAGGTTTTAGCATGTCTTCACTGCGCTTTAAGATATGCCATTCACAATTATATCCTAACATAATAATCCCTTATTTCTTTTACTTAAATAATAATCCCTTAATTGGTAGAACAAACAATCAAATTTAATGAAGCTTCAGTTAAAAATTTATACATACAAATTAGTGAATATGGTAAAACATGTACGCTTAGATTATTTTTATTTGGAAGGTTATGAATGCTTATATTATTGAGTGAAGTGATTTATCTATATCTTTCAAACTGTTCATGATCTCCAAATACAAGATTGATGGCTATGCAATTTTGTTCAAACAACAGTTAGTGAATACAGTTTCCTTAATAAAATAAAACGAATGTACATACCATGGAGGAAGGCAGATCAATTCCCATTTGTGTATACAAGTCATCTGTCCCTCTAGTACTTCCACTCCTGTATGTCCATCCAAAATTGTCCAGTACAGTAGCTTTCCAGAAAAAGAATTTTTCCTATACATGCCTGCACATCTATGATTTTCCAATGAACAGCAAGTCATCAATATGTATGAAGAAATTACATTGGTGGTTTACTGATAACAAAATGGCTATCAGCCATCAGGGTAAAAATAATGCAACTTCGCCAGGTAAAAAGTTAACATAATTTAACTGTCTTCACTTTTCAGAGATGAACAAGAGATTGAGATGAATTTAGAGTGCTTACGCAGGTTTCTTAAGGTTTTATATGAAGTCTAAAACTTCCATCTCGTCGTATGAGTCCCTCCGATTCTTCAAAACCCTTGGTCTGTCATTGATTATTTCTAGGACCTAATTCAATAGAGTTGCACATCAAACTCCGGGGAAAAAAATTATGGGCATCAACATATTGCCTGCTATGCTGCTACTTGATAAATATGCCAAGGAGGATAGAATTTCAAACAAGAGATTCAGCATATACCCAATTAATATGTCTGCATTAATATTCCTAGAAAAATTTCATGGCTTTAATATGTAGGTTACTGCAAATAAGTTAGTATACATGTTGCGCAGAGGATCAGAAAAACTGAACAACACACTACCAACCAAATCAGTAACTGTTTCATGACAACACAGCTATTAACAGAGATAGAAAATGAACTGCTAAATGTCTATGAAGAACCAAGGCATACCAAATTTCCAGGCAAAACGAAAGTTTACCTCTGGCCTTGAATAGAGAACACCATAAGACATGCCCACATCAACACACCAAACCTTGCCATCGCATTTGCTGGGAAAAAGAAATAATCACCTATTACTTCTCTTGATGTTTTTTCAGTTGTAAATTACCCAAGTGAGAACAACAGATACCAATTCACTCCACGAGTCTGGGGTGTGTGCCCTACAACCATCCCTTTTGCTCCCACAGATTTCAGTGTTCGTTCAGCAACCACAGAAGATAGCTGAAACCAACAAAAATAATTTGACAAGTCTGTGATAATCTTATCAATAGTGCTATTGATATATTTTCCATAGACCATAGTGCAAAATAAGCATATGTTTTATCGATAAAATTTTCTCACCTTCCAGGAATGACGCGTCATTTCCGTAGGGCCTTGTGAGTACAAACGACTCCATACTACACTGTCATAACCTCTAGTTGCTATGAAGGGGATATCTAATTCATCATCACTGTCTCCACTTGAACTTTTCATCCAAACCGAAACTTCTCTGTTCATACGCTCGATACCATATTCGACTGCAGGTAGAATGAAGATGAACTGAAAATATTATGAATCACTTGATGCAATCCTTGTGATCAAATAGGATATTATGTGTGAAATTTGGTTAGAGTACAGGAACCGCGCTAGTTCATGCTGATCTCAAACTATAGTATGTTCTGGAATTTAATTTTTTGTGTACCTAGTATTCTGGTCAGTACAGAGTGTAATATAGTAAGACCTATAGCAGAAGAGATACATGCTAGAGTGACTAAAGTTCACAGTAATATCGAAATATCATGGCATTTTGCTTGGCATTATATTGAGCAGAAGGGTTCAGACTTCAGAGGAATATCAAATCAGCAAAATGCACATGCCTGGGTGACTACAAGATGAGAGGGCTCACCATGATGAGGAAGAAGGCCGCCGTGGCAAAAGATCCAGTCATTAACACTTAGCACAACAGGATGTCGCGCCAATTCACAAGCTAACGGGCCACCTCGCTTGAAAAGTGATGATCTAGCAGCAATACCTTTCTGCTTCTGCCTCAACACATTTCAAGGAAAATATTTCTGAAGCATCAGAAATTATGATAATACCATCTTTTCCAAGGTTATTTGTTAAAGGAAATTTTATTGACCTTGAGTTTTGATTTTGGTTTCATTTTATTATAGATAATCCAAAAGGTAATTTTGTCCAAAACTGACTAACTGAACATGTTGGACAGTACTTGAGGCAGAAACCATTCAATGGCTTTCTTACCTTGACAAAGTTCCAAGGACGCCAGTCACCATTAGGTGACATTGGATATTCTTCCTTCCATCTTTCACAAACATTAACCCAGTTGAGAAAAGCATCATCCCAGTTGCCATCACATTCATCCAAATACTCCATGAAGCGTATGCACTCGTCAAATGCTCCTGGATCTACATACCGATAATCGCCTTCCACATTTATGGTTTCGTGATTTCCATTAACCTACCGGATGGGATTAAGTTCCAAACCAGGACATGAATAAGTAACAACAAAACCATAGAGCATTTAAAGGTACAGTAAGTAAAGGTAATACCTGAAACACAGCACCCCCTTGAGATTTCGCCTGCATATTCAGTGAACTTAAGAGAGATAGTATCGCGATTTCATCTTCGCCACGGTCAAGGATATCTCCAACTTGAACCAGCACCTGTACAAAAATGAAAACATTTCACATTCTTCTTCTCTGTGGAGAGATGAGGATACTGCAGAACAGAAGAGTAGCTGCACCTGAGATCTAGCAGAAGATACCACAGTTACATCTATGCTAAAAGGAAGGAAGCACAATGTACTGTGTGTGATCCATGCAAATTAAGTATAGTACAAACTTACACATTTTGAGTTTTGGCTGGCATGCAAATGCAATTACTAATTTTGTTATAAATTTGAGTATATTTCTGTGAAAAAGAACTTTTAAACAAAATTCAATGAACTAAATGCAACAAACATAGGACAGGAAATGGTTCTATACCGTCTGCCCTCCTGTCCATACATGGCCATCCGATTCCGAGCTCAGGAGACCAGCCATCACTAGCGCCGCCCTCGTTTGGTTTAGATCACCGTGGAGGTCACCGACTGCGAATTTCAAGTTGACTCACTATTATGAAGCAATTAAACTACCATCGGAGTTCAAATGTTACTACCTTCGTCCCAAAAAAAAAAGACTTTGAGATGAAGGTAGTACCTTTTCAAGGCAGAAATCGCATGCTGTTAAAATCTCCAAATTTTGTGAAAATAAGCTTAACTTGGAATTATGGGGGGTGCACACACAGGTTTATTAATTTCTATTATTCAGTTTACCTAGACGTAGCAAATAAATTTGGTAATGTGTACTTAGCACTAACATCAAATTCTGTTTTTTTTTGTTTAATGTATTTTTTGTCAGTAAATAAATTCATGTGTTTTTTAGAAACACAGTACAAACGCAGACACTCACAACGTACGCCTCTATGAACACAAGCGCGCACACCCTACCATACCCCTATGAACACCTTTTCCTCCCAAATAGTTTGGAAATGAACTTACAAACAATTAGTTTCTACTTCCTTCGTTTCAGGTTATAAGACATTTTGACTTTGGTCAAAGTCAAAATGCTTTAAGTTTGACTAAATTTGAAGAAAAACAAATAATAACATTTTTAACCCAAGACAAATTTATTATAAAAATATATTTAATTATTGATTTAATGAAACTAATTTGATATTATAAATATTACTATATTTGTCTATAAGCTTAATTAAAGTTGAAGTAGTTCGACTTTTGACAAAGTCAAAACGTCTTGTAACCTGAAATGGAGAGAGTATTTTTTTTCTAAAGATGATTCCCAATGCAAATAGAAAAATGAACTGATGTAGCACGTATAAACATGGACAATAAACTAGTTTTTATCTATACCGGAACAAGTGTTCGGCGAGCACGTATATATAGCATACCGGCGACGATGCGGCGGCCGGGCGCGGTGACGAACGTGGGCGGGTCACCGGCGACGGTGATGGCCGGTCGGCCGCCGCCGCCATCACCAGCCGCACCGCGCGAGAAAGAAGCCCGCCCGCTCGCGCTGATGGCCACGTGCACGGCAGCGCGGCCTCTAGGACCACAACGACGGCAACCAGCTGGCGTCGCCGCCGCCGGCGACGTCGAGAGCCCGAACGTGGTGGCGGCAGCCGCAGCCGCAACCCTCACCGGCGGCGGGAGCACCGCCATCGCTGGCCGTCCGTACGCCCGCTGTTTTACTCGTCTAATCCTCTACGAGACGTGGTGGTGAAACCACGCTGTAACTGGAGTGGAGGCAGTGAAAGGGTCGAGCCTCGAGTCTCGAGCGCGCGGGGGCGGCGTCTCAGCCAACCGTTTTGTGGATGGAGTTTCGCGGCGCCGTGCCGCCCAGCCACGTACGATAGGAGAAGGGCCGGCCCAGAAACGACGGTGTTACCGGCCCAAATCAGGCCCGGAAAAAGTACACCGAAGGACCTCGAGTGACCAAAAGCGGGGTCTTGTATAGTTATGTGACCTCGTATATCTGGTTTTACGGTTCAAGCACGTTTTTTTTATCTCAATGACAAGCTGAGGTACCTTCGGTGTACTTTTTCCTCTCAGCTAACCGTTTTGTGGATGGAGTTTCGCGGCGCCGTGTGCCACCCAGCCACGTACGATAGGAGAAGGGCCGGCCTAGAAAACGGCGGTGTTACCGGCCCAAATCAGGCCCGGCCCGGCCCATAATGATGTACGCCACTTGCGTGTCGCGTCGGTCACCATGACGCAATCACCCGTCTCGGAGAAGACCAGAAATAGGGGACTTCCATGTGACTAATAATATATATCCATGCTTAGTAGTAGTAACATGTTAGGCTCGTATAATTAAAAATTGATATGTATGGAATGAAAATAAATTAATAAATATTACAGGCACATACGAAGAAGCGGATGTCGACCTCCAATTTACTGTGAGAAGGCCGGCACGAAAGAAGAACGATTGTGCTTTTAAAAACAAATACTTCTATACATACCAGTGAAGCACTGAAGCATACAATCCGCATCCAACTCTGCCACATTCACCGACCCACCGTGTTTTTTTTTTTAATTATGCTGGCTCGACAAACAACAGCTGTGACCGTGCATACTTAGTCTTATGCAGGTTGTATATTTGGGTCGGATGCATAGCAATTATTTCTTTTAAATAGTAGAGAAAGAAATGAACTTCTCTAACAAAGTTGTGTAATCATTGGTAGGTGTGCTTGTTCAGTTAGGTCCATGCACGCATGCGAAATGGGCTATCCATCGATCGATCGAATCGGCTGTGCAAATGGGATCCTACGTACGCTTTGGCTTAACAGGCCAGCTAGCTACTGTGGAGTGGAGCATCGCTTCACTAATCACTAGTGCCTGCAATGCATGGCGCCGTTGACTATCACGGATACGTGGGTGATTAGCAGGAGCCTAGCTGGGTTGCAGTTAGGTAAGATCGGATTACCTTAATTGGGAATGTGAGCACGTAATTTTTGGATTTTTGTTTCTAAGCAACATGCATGCTTACGCGGACCACGTCGATCCGGTTGACCTGATGTTGCTACAGCTAATTTAAATTTATATCTATGCTCACAAATCAAAATTTAGGGCCCTTTGATTTAAAGAAAATTCGTAGAAATTTTAGAGGATTTCATTCCTATAGAAATTTTTTCTATATAGCCCTTTGAATCAAATGAATGAATCCTATTGAATCCAATGAAATTCCTATAGAATGACTCTTCCCATGTAAGTTTTGGAGAAAATTTAACATGAGGTAGAACCTCATGGAAAGAATCATTTGAGTCTTTATCTCTCTTTAAATTCCTGTGTTTTTCCTGTGGCCCAATCAAACAGTCATTCATATGTTTTTTCTGTTTTTTTAATCCTCTATTTTACACTTGCATTTCTGTCAGAATCCTATATTTTTCCTATTCCTCCGTTTTTTTCATTCCTATGATTTAAAGGGGCTCTTAAAGGGTGAATAGCTAATATGGTCCTTGAAGTTTCGCTTCAGGCTCAGTTTAGTCCTTAAGATTTTAAATCATCCAAATAAGTCCTTCAAATTAATTATTTGGGTTAATATAGTCCTTGGACCAACAAAAAGTGCCAGGTGAGCATGTCAAGTCATCATTGCATGCAGCGGTATAAATGAAATGACCATTCTGCCCTTATATACCATATAAAAAAGAAAACAAATATTTCACATATGTATGATCGTTTTAGAAATTATCGCTTACAATTGCTGCAGCCAAGCACTGATCGCATAAATTCCTTTGTCGGCCACCCTCCGCAACAATGTTGGGTCTGGGTTGGCCTGTTATTTTTTTGTTTGTGTTTTTTGTTTCTTTTCTAGATGGTATATAAGGGTAAAATTGTCATTTCATTCATACTGCTGCATGCGAGGATGACTTAGCATGCTCACGTGGTATTTTTATGGGTCCAAGGACTATATTAACCCAAATGATTAATTTGGGGGACTTGTTTGGATGATTTGAAACCTCAATGACCAAGCTGAGCCCGAAACGAAACTCAAGAACCATATGAGCTATTCACCCAAATTTAAACTTTAAAACTTAATTTTGAAGTTAATTTTATTTTTTTCATTATAATTTATTTTACATTTTCTTTAGAATCACTTATGATATGTATAAATTTTTTTCTTACAAATTAGTTTTTAATTAGTACTACCTTTGTCCCATAATAAAATTATAATTATAGAAGATTAAAGACATGTTGTCAGCATACACAAATAATCATAATAACTTTAGTTAACGATCACACGGCATGAACACATTGATTTGTAGCCTTGATTAAAAGAAAGGTTATGAGATGGGGATGAAAGGATTTGAGACTATATATATCTTCGTCTCATTAATTTGTTAGGTCTCATAACTTAATAAAAATGTAACTTTTTAAGATGGAATTTTAAATGATAGAAATACAATAATTTTGAAATAAAAATATAGTAAGTAAGTTGTACGAATAATTATGAGCATAAAAGAAACGGCAGTGCTAATGCCCATCTCATCACTTTGCAAAAGGAGAGGAGACGATATAAAGACAAAAGGGAGCGCCCGTTTGGGCGTGGCCCGCGGCCGGTCCGCCACGACCGGAACCATTACCGGTTGCAATATTGCATCCCTCCAAGATTCCATCAGAGTCTTGAGATCGATTCCCGCGTTCAGTTCCCCGCGATCGCCGCGCTTTTGGGGGCGTACGGATCAACCACGGCAGCAAAGCCCGGACAAGGCATGAGAGAGATCTATGATTAGCATCGCCAAATGTTGTGAGTTGTGTGTGTGTGACCCCATCGAAATATCACTGCTCACGCAAAGACCGTTTTGGACATGCAGATGCTTGGGTTTGAAACTGATCATGTTATTATATTTGAGCCAATCTTTTTTTTAAGTAATGAGATGTTTTTTTTAAGTAAAGATTAAAGTTAAGGCAAAATATTTATTTTAAGTCATCTCATTGATCAAATTTTGTATTTTAAATTCATTGGATCCCCTCTTAAGCACATGATTGGCTGGCGATGCTTAGATTTCAGTGTATTGATACCGGTGTACTATAAATATTTATATTGTACGTACAAAATTTAATCCTAAAGTTAATTATATTTAGAAACAGAGGACTTGTGATTCAAATTAGTATGGAGGGAAAAAAAGGGGGCAAAAGTGCCATTTGTTAATAAGAAACTAGTCAATAATATAAAAGTACTAGTATGATATTGAAATGATAAGGTAAGGGATATTGAAACTAGTCAGTTATCAAATGTTAGGGGTTAGAAATGTTAGTGAGGATGGATTTGGGTGATTTTGGAATAGAATTGTAGCTAGAACAGGCTAAGTGTAATTCTATACTAATATGGTTCACTAAACCAAGATTGTAAATCTAAATGTGTAATTTTTAAGTTTACACGAACCCGTGCTCAAGCACTGAGATGTATTACACTCTAAGAGCAAGTTTAATAGTAGAGCTTATTACCTGCTATTAGTCCATCTTATCATAACATATATAATAGATTAACTATAAGATTACCTTTAATTTCTCTTCTCCTCTCTCTTTTTCTAACTTATGTATTTAATGTATTTGTCTTGTAGCATGTGTAGAGCTAACTCTTGCATAAGAAAGAGCCAATGCCCTTCATTTTTGTTATCTTCTCCTCCACATGAATTTATAGGGCCCGTTTGGGGGAGCTTTAGATTCTGAGAAGCAGTTGTTTGGTAGCCAGCTTCTGAGAATCTGGAAAAGCTCTGAAACCTAGCTTCTCCAGCTTCTAGCTTCTTAGTTCATTCTTCAAAATCTGTAACAACAGATTCTCAGAAGCTGTGTACTGTTTGGGACAGCTTCTAACAGAAGCAGCTTTTAAGAAAAGCTGCAGCTGGAACAAGCTCCCCCAAATAGGGTCATAGTTGGCTTAAAGCATGTTTATAATAGAGGTGATGGCCACCTCCAATTTTATCCACATTATACGTCCATAAAATTAAAATTAACTTATATAATGCATTGAATCTAATACACTAATCCCAATACACTTACCACTAATCAACCCCTCACTTTTTCTCTTGTTTCTTAGAGTTCGTGTGGAGGTTACCTCTTGCACGATGGGTGACTCCTCTTCCTCTCTCTTCTCTTCTCTCTCTTCTATCCTCCATATCATCGTATAAACATATATGATACTTTGGGGTTTGTACATATATAGAACCTTTATAGTATAACCTACTATTATCCTTGCTTAAAAAAAAGCATTACCCGCTGATAATGGGAAATTTAACTATTTCATACTATTAGGTTTATCAATTATTCAAATACCCCTATTAGATTTGCCTTAATTTTTTTCCCTTCTAAGGTGGTGGCTTCTTAACTATTTGCCACTTTTACCAATGTGGGTATCCAGCGTAAAAATTGATGTAGGACCCACCTATTAGTCTAAAACCTCTCCTTTTCCTCTCTCCCTCCGGTCCAGCCAACCTCACCAACTGTCTGCACTACTCCAGCCTGCCCCGCTATCCTCCCCTTCATCAATCCTCGACGGTTAACAGCTGTTGAACTACAGGACCGTGGGATAGCGACGGGGATGCTTGGAGGGCCCCGCTCCACACTGCACTCTCAGGGATCCTCGCCTGCTTCCCGGCCGTCTCCAAGCTCATCCTCAAGTGCGACCGCCATCCCGAGAGCATCGCCGACCCCCTCGGCTCGGCCCTTCGACGACTCAAGCTTTGCTCCCTCTGTCTCGTTGCCGCGCTCGGCACCAGCCTCCACAAGCTCTCCGCCAGCTCATGCATCTTTGGTGCCAAGGGGATTGAGGGCGTCCTCCGCGCCTGCCTCCATCTCGAGGAGCAGTGCCGACAGTTAGCGAGGCTGGTCGAACTAGAGGAAAAGAGGAAGGGGAGAGTTGTGAGACTGATAGGTAGGTCCGCATCGATTTTTACACTGGGTTACCACGTCAGCATGCCGTGTGGGCAAAAGTTGCAAACTCAAATAGTTAAAAGAAGCCACCACTTTAGAAGGAAAAAAAAGAGAGGCAAATCTAGGCCCTGTTTAGATTCCAATTTTTTTTTCAAACTTTCATTTTTTCTGTCACATCAAACTTTCTTACACACACAAACTTCTAACTTTTTTGTCACATTGTTCCAATTTATTCAAACTTTCAATTTTAGTGTGGAACTAAACACAACCCTAAGAGCAGGTACAATAGCGGGCTACTAGACAGCTATAAACATATTTTAATGAGATAAAAGATGAGAGATAACAACAGCGGGCTACAGATTTGTAGCCAGCTGCAACACGGACTACAAGACGCAATGTGTGTATGACAGATGAGACCATTAGATCGGCTATAGATAAATTAGAGCTAGCAGTGAGTTATACTATTGAACTTGCTCTAACAGAGGTGTAGTGACAAACAGTTAAATTTCCCGCTGATAGAGAGCGTGCGCAGGCAAAAACGCAACCATATCCCCAGGCGCGAGCTCTGTCCCCGATAGATCTTGTGCATTTGTGCAGTGTGCACGCGACATGAATCCACCAACGTCTCCATGGGCCGCCTCACCCTGCTCCCTGCCCTGCTCTTCTCGTCTCTCTCTCTCTACCCGGCCGTTGGGACTCGCTGACTTGGGAGCAGAGCCAGCCACAGAGACAGACCGGGTGTGTGTATACTGTACAGATACAAAATTCAAATTCTTGCACTGCCCTCTGCGTGGCCCCACCTTGCCAATCCTCTTGCACCTCGTGTCACTGCGGGTGGGCCCAACGGGACGGTTGACGGTTAGTGAGTAATAAATGATTTATCTCTCGCTAATAATCCACTGATCCTGGAGATGATGCTGCATTACCCACTAATCATATATTAAAAAAAGCCTAAAATGATGGGACAAAAAGCCCATATATAATAAAAAATAAAATAACCCCGGAAACATTCTCATCCCATCTCCACCCAAAAAAGCCCCAAAACCCTCTTCCAAAGCCCCCTGTGAGTGGACCCCACCTCCCATTCCCAATCCGAATCCCAATCCCGACTAGTGCGCGCCCTTTCCATTCCCACCATTTATCACTACCACCACCACCTCACTCCCCCCACTCCTCACTAGCTTCCTCTCCAATGGAGCTCCACCTCGTCCTCGTCCTCGTCCTCCTCCTCGCCGCGGCGGCGCACCCAATCGCCTTCGCCGACGCGGGAGCAGCCGGCAATGCGACGACGACCACCTACATCGTGTTCATGGACCCGGCGCGCTTGCCGGCGGCGGGGCACGCGGCGCACCTCCAGTCGCTCGCCATCGACCCGGACAGGCACCTGCTCTACTCCTACTCCGCCGCCGCGCACGGCTTCGCGGCGGCGCTGCTCCCGCACCACCTGCCGCTGCTCCGGGCCAGCCCCGGCGTGCTCCAGGTGGTGCCCGACGAGGTGTTCGACCTGCACACCACCCGCACCCCGGAGTTCTTGGGGCTGCTCTCCCCGGCGTACCAGCCTGCCATCCATGGCTTCGAGGCCGCCACGCATGACGTGGTCATTGGGGTTCTTGATACTGGTGTTTGGCCCGAGTCGCCGAGCTTTGCCGGTGGCGACCTGCCGCCGCCTCCCGCGAGGTGGAAGGGGGTGTGTGAGGCGGGCGTCGATTTCTCGCCGAGCGTGTGCGGGAGGAAGCTCGTCGGCGCGCGGAGCTTCTCGCGCGGGCTCCGTGCGGCGAACGGCGGTGGTGGTGGTGGTGCAAGGGGCGGCGTGGGGAGGAAGGGGTTCGTCTCGGCGCGGGATAGGGATGGGCACGGGACGCACACGGCGACGACGGCGGCGGGCGCGGTGGTGGCGAACGCGAGCTTGCTCGGGTATGCCACTGGCACGGCGCGCGGGATGGCGCCCGGGGCGCGCGTCGCCGCGTACAAGGTGTGCTGGCCGGAGGGGTGCCTCGGCTCCGACATTCTCGCCGGCATTGACGCTGCCGTGGCCGACGGGGTCGGCGTGCTCTCCCTGTCCCTCGGCGGCGGCTCGGCGCCGTACTTCCGGGACACCGTCGCGGTGGGTGCGTTCGGCGCCGCGGCGGCCGGCGTGTTCGTCGCGTGCTCGGCCGGCAACTCCGGCCCGTCGGGCGCCACGGTCGCGAACTCCGCGCCGTGGGTCGCCACCGTTGGCGCCGGCACGCTCGACCGCGACTTCCCAGCCTACGTCACGCTCCCCACCGGGGCGCGCCTCGCCGGCGTGTCCCTCTACGCTGGGCCCTCACCGTCTCCCCGCCCCGCCATGCTCCCCCTCGTCTACGGCGGCGGCGGCGACAACGCCAGCAGGCTCTGCCTGCCCGGAACGCTCGACCCGGCCGCCGTGCGCGGTAAGATCGTGCTCTGCGACCGCGGCGTTAACGCGCGCGTGGAGAAGGGCGCCGTCGTCAAGGCCGCGGGCGGCGCCGGGATGGTGCTGGCCAACACCGCCGCCAGCGGGGAGGAGCTCGTGGCGGACAGCCACCTCCTCCCCGCCGTCGCGGTGGGGAAGCTCGCCGGCGACAAGATACGCGAGTACGCCTCGCGCCGCGCCGCCGGCGGCGCCGGCGCGCCGATGGCAATTCTGAGCTTCGGCGGCACGGTTCTTGGCGTCCGGCCATCTCCCGTCGTGGCGGCGTTCAGCTCGCGCGGCCCGAACACCGTCGTGCCGGAGATCTTGAAGCCGGACATGATTGGCCCCGGGGTGAACATCCTCGCCGGCTGGTCCGGCGTCGCCGGGCCGACGGGGCTCGTCAAAGACGGCCGCCGGACACACTTCAACATCATCTCCGGTGAGCATTCCATTCCATTCCATTCCACACTCCATGCCAAGCTAGGAGTAGCTCTCTCACACTGCTCAGATTCAAATGGTTCTGACCACCATGTCATGTTGCTATCAAGTTTTTGGAGTTATTTTACTCATTTACTGCCATCACAGTATAGACAATCCAGTGGGACAAAAGAAAAAGAGCAAGCAAACAGAGCCTCTTTGGATTTAGATTCAGCCATGGATGGACCCTGTTTGCAGAAAGGCAATTTTCATTTCAACTTTCTTGTTGGTTGGATGAAATGGCATTTGCTTTCATTCACTGCCTCCCTTTGTCAGGGGATGCACATGTGATGCTCTTGCAGATGTGAAACAAGGGAACAGCAGCTGAGACAAGTTACCCTTTTACTTTTGTTTCTTTTGATTGCCCGTTCTGAAAGTGATAAACTAGCATGAGATGGGGAGACAATAGTACATCACTGGTTTCTAACTTTATACTAAGCTGGATCTTATTAAAGATGTATAGTTGCATTTTCATTACTAGCTTGAAACGAGAGTGTTGCATAGTACCATATACCATTGCAATTCTTGTGCATGTTTGTTAGTCCTAATGTTTGCTTATATATATTATTGCTAGCAAATCAGGAATACACTGTTGAGCTCTGTGGGGATAAATTTCAGTAGACAGCAAATGGGAACATTTTGATATATGAGGCTTATCTTGTTTGTGCCTTTCAATGCTTAAATAGTGGTTGTGTCCTATGGCTATGAGATAAGTAAGCATGTAATATTGTTGATTTGCATGTTTTCATCAGCCAAGATGAAATGCTACATTTTTCTCAATGTTTTGCACGTAACAATGCTGACTTCTATTTGATCCATTCAGGTACATCGATGTCGTGCCCTCACATCAGTGGAGTTGCGGCACTCCTGAAGGCCGCACACCCCGAATGGAGCCCTGCCGCGATCAAGTCTGCTCTGATGACCACTGCTTACACCGTCGACAACACAAACTCTTCTCTCCGAGATGCTGCTGGAGGCTTGCTTGCAACCCCATTCGCCTTCGGCGCAGGCCATGTCGACCCGCAGAAGGCGCTATCTCCAGGCCTTCTATACGACATCTCGACTAAGGACTATGTTTCCTTCCTCTGCTCCCTGAACTACACCACACCACATATCCAAGTGATCACTAAGATGTCCAACATCACCTGCCCAAGAAAATTCCGGCCCGGCGACCTCAACTATCCCTCGTTTTCGGTTGTGTTCAAGAAGAAATCAAAGCATGTTATGAGGTTCAGAAGGGAGGTAACCAATGTCGGCCCAGCAATGTCTGTTTACAATGTGAAGGTCAGTGGCCCTGCATCAGTCAGTGTGAAGGTGACACCAGCAAAGCTTGTGTTCAACAAGGTAGGGCAGAAGCAGAGATACTATGTCATATTCGCGTCTACGGTTGACGCAAGCAATGCGAAACCAGATTTCGGTTGGATATCCTGGATGAGCAGCCAGCATGTTGTTCGGAGTCCGATCGCGTATACATGGAAGATCTGAGGGGTGAGGACAGTAAGTAAATTATATTGGAGATGTTGAATTATTCCCTGGAGCAGATGAAAGATAGATAGCTTGATGATGTAGTTTGCTGATTGCTTCACAAAGAGAATCGGCGTGAAGCTCTCTCTACTGCAAACCTGGAGTTCTTTCTTCGCAGTGTCGGTTACTCGCCGAACTTCTTTTTCCCCCCTTGTAGTTGTCAGTGCGGTTGCCCGTCAAGAAACTTATGTGCTATTAACATGTGAGATTTCCTTTTCTTTTTCTTTCTCTAGTTTCATGTTCTCAGACATGAAATAACCCTGAAATGAATCGGTTGTTTTATGGCAATGATCAGCTCACATCAGCTATTGTTTTATCAATGTTCTGATTCTGATCCTCCTGAGTTAACTGAAGAATTGAAATGGCTGTTTCATTGGCAATGTGTTCTCTTCTTTTACATGTATCCAGAAATTTTAGCTTTGTGCATAAGTAGGAACCAATTTCAGCAGGAAAGGAAAGGGGAACAGAGATCAGTTCAGGGATCTGGTGAAGCTGAGTCTCACAGACAATGAACTGTAAAGTGATGGCCAAAAAGAAATCAAATGATCTGAATTCTTTCCGCCGACCGTGCGTGTGCATCCGTAACGCACGCGCGTTCGCTTTCACGCGCTGGCGCCTGTGTACATGATTGGTCGCCCTGCCTGTTTAGTGTTTACTAGTAGTAGGGTAGTACTGGAGGACTTTACATAACACCCACGAGAGACTGGCCCAAGTTTTGGCCCAGTGCAGCCGAAGCATGAAAAGAATAAGTTCACTTTCACTCCCTTCAAAGTGACCCAAATCTAATTCGTATCCCTCAACCGCAAAACCAGATATCTTGACCCTTAAACTGTTAAAACTGGTGCAATTTTACTCTCTTGGCGGTAATGAAGGGCGGTTTCACTAACGTGGCGACTACGTGGCGGTGTTGACCTGGTCTTACGTGGATTCAAAAGCGCCACATAGGATGAAGGCTAGGTCAACACTGCCACGTAGTTGCCACGTCAGCGAAATCGCCCTTCAAAACCGCCACGGGAGTGAAATTGCACCGGTTTTAACAGTTTAGGGGTCAAGATATCTGTTTTACGGTTGAGGGTTACGGATTAGATTCGGGTCACTTTTAAGGGAGTCAAAGTGAACTTATTCCAAGCATGAAACCAAGGCCACCTGCTAATAAAAGGAAAAGGTTCACTTTTTAGGTCCCTCATCCAGGGGTTGAGTTTTATTCAGGTTACTTGACCGCAAAATCGGGTATGGCTAGTCCAATTTCTAAAACCGGTGCAAATCGAGTTCTTCGGTAGTATTAGAAATGGTTTCAGATGATGTTGAGCCTAAGTGACTTGTTTGACTTGGTCTTCATCTGATGTAGCATCTACATGGCATAACAATCAGAAAAAAAAAACGATGGGACCCATGTATAAGTGTTCACTCTTTTCTTCCTCTCTTCCCCTCTACTTTTAGTCTCTTGTTAGATGGCTGGTGGCAAGATGCAGGCCGATCAACCCTCTTCATCTCATCTGGTGGCTAGCGGCAAGATGGAGGGGGTTCGATTTGAAGGTGCCCACCACCAGCACCTTGCTAAAGCTTGCAGCCGCGGGGGTTGGCAATGAGGGATGGTGGGGAGGGCAGCGTGGTATGGAACACACGGGAAGTGCGGTGGTTCTCCATTAGGATCTAACCACCATGGTAGCATCGAGGGCGGGAGTGCCGGCTAAGGCGGAAGGCGGTGGTGTGGTGCTCACAGTAGTTATCCACGCGATATAGGCTCCCAAAGCGCTTAGCCCTTCTACCCTCACGGGACGACCTCGAGCCGCTCCTCGAGCTCCCGGATGAGGTTGACATGGAGCTCAGGCGAGGAGATGGAGTTGGCCTGGTGCTTGCCGCCACCGTGTCGAAAGGCCAGAGCAACCATGTCCTTCTCCATCGCTGACAGAGCAGCAGAAGGTCAATTGCTGCCCCCGGGGACCAAGAGGTCATACATCCGCGTCGGGGAGGAGAAGGAGGAGCTTAGGAGGCAGGGAGTAGTCTTGTCCGCTGGCCCACCACATCATCGCATTCTTGCATCCTTCATGCTCTTTATGAGCACTTGGCCACAGGGGATGAAGAGGGGTCCAACGCTAGGATGGCGGGGGGACAGATAGAGGCCCTAGCCTCAGCTTTGTCCTCTTCATCATCTCCTCTCCCTCTGCCTCCTCACTGCCGCCTTTACTGGGCAACTCAAGCTCACCAAAGTGGGTGAATGCGGCATCCTCCTCTCCCTCCATTTCCCTGTAGTTGCTCTCGACAGTTGGACTTCGCGGAATCCTTCTCTTCTGCCTCCTTCCCTCGTCGTCCAACGCCACAGACTGGAGGAGGCAGCTGTGCTTGCCATCGTGCTTTACCTCCTTCACCTCCCCCCTCCCCCCCTTTTTTAGAGTCTACCCTAGCTTCCGCGAGCGCACGGTGCCGCCGTGCGCTCACGGGAGCCAGTGTGACGGCGCCACATACACTAAGGAGGTTGTCACCGTCATCGTTCAAATGCTGTGGCGAGGAGTTGCTCGAGAGATGAAGGGTAAGGAATTACCCTCACTGACATTTGAGCCTCATAATTTCTTAAAAAAAAAATCTTCTAATAAAATTGCCAAGCAAAAGACATGTCAACACCAGTAGACCAAGTCAATGTGACAAAATTGCCAGCAAAATTGCTAGGGGGATTTACACTAATTTTTATAATTTTTATAGTTGGGGAAAGTTCTATACCCGAATTTGCGAAGGACACGAATGAAACTCGACCTGTTAATGAGGGATCTAAAGTTAACTTTTTCCCTATTCTTAAGCAAACCCAACCAGTGTGAACTATGAAGTGTCTTGCATCTAAACATTACTACTATTTTTGTAGTGTCTGGCATCAAAGCAAGTGACGTATGCTCCTGTTGGGCTGACGCGTGGTTGAGGTAATTTTAGAAAGCTCTATAGTTTAACGAATTTCACGAATCCACGTATATATCGGAGAACTTAATTAGGCTATTTTTTATTTTTTTAAAATAATGAGAATTTATAAAACCCGGCTTCTACACCAACGTGGCAATAACATTCTGAACCGTAATTTGAATAGTAACCATGATTCTAATTCTATCCCTACTTTTTCAGGTTTATCTGGGAACATGCCGTGAACACAATTCAGGATATAACGAAAACACGTCTTTCCGTGAACAACTATAATAAACACGTGCTAGTTGATTATTATTATCTGATTTTATTGGAAGCACCTATAAATCGGGCGCCCGATTGTTTTTAAAAATCGGGTACTATTTCACTAAGTAGATCGAAAATATTTTACCAAGTAGATAAAAAATGTTTCAATCTTTTAAAAAGCTGAAACATAATCAAATCACATCATGAAACATTTTGCTACAACGTATGAAACAACAGTTTCGAATATATTAAAACATGAAACAAATCCGAGTACATTGAGGAAAAGAATGAAACTCCATCGAATTGAAAATGTTTAGTGCTGAAAATGGTGAAACACAATCAAATCACACAATGAAACATTTTACTACAACGTATAAAACAACGGTTCCGAATGTACTAAAATATGAAAAGAATCCAAGTATATCCAAGAAAAGGATGAAACACCATCGAAAACCCACTACAACGTTTCAAATCTAACCGATGAAACATCACGGTACATGGACTGAAACATTAAAAAAATTAAGAGGAAAACCTAGATCTACCTCTTCCTCCACTCTGGTGATTAGCAACCACATCCGCATCGACGCCGCGCCGAGCTCCACCACATCTACATAGCCACTGTTGTCGACACCACGGAGCTCGGCCACATTTGCGTATCCGCCGTCGTCGACGCCGCACGGAGCTCGGTCGCCGTCGTCGACGCTGCGCGAAGTCTCCTCGGTTTGCCGGTGCCGCCACTGCCTTCGCCGTCGACTGCACCAGAGGGGCGTCACACGCAGGGCGAAATCGAAGCGGAAACAGCCTCCTCGAAACCCTAGAGTGGCCAGCGATGAGGTGGCTATTGCCTCCGGAGCCAGCTGCAACAGATGGACGCCGTGCGGGGGGACGAAGCCAGACGGAAGCTGCCGCCTAACCCCTCCACCGCTGCCGCCACCACCGCCGGTGAGGAGAGGCCTCTGTTGGCTGCCGCCGCTCCACCAGAGAGAGAGAGGAGGGGCGAGAGAGAGCACGGGGAGAGGAGGCGCGTCAGAGATGAGAGAGAGAGAGAGGAGAAGCACCCGATTTTTTCTTACTCGATCGGTCGCCTGGATAGAAGGATTTTCGGATTTTATTTGTAACACGCTCGTCGTGCTCCTTTTATTTTCACCACACACTTTTAGTTTTCTGTTAATTTAACCCACCGAAAGTTTATGCATTTGATTATGATTCGTATTAAGATTTCGATTAGGATTTAAATGTTTGTATCTCTACTATTATAAAAATAAAAAATATTTTCGCTGAAATTTTGGTATGTGTTTGAGTGGTTTTTAGTTGGTTTTACGTCTCCCGTACCCAATTCGACATGAGTTTAAAATAACTATTATACACCTCCCTCCCAACCCAACCCAACCTAATCGGCTCACACCATCGTGCGCGTCTCCACTCAAAGCGCACGTGCCTCTCCCGACATTTTTTTGCTCTATTTTCTTTTTCTCCTTTTCTTTTCTCTCGGTCGTTCTAATCCTTACCCTCTCCTTCCAATCTCCTTTCTTTTTGCCTCCTTTTCACTTTTGGTATTGGTATCTCTATTTCTACTATTATAAAAATTAAAGATGTTTCCACTGATACTTACTTTGGTACATCATCCGTATTTGAGTCAGTTTTTAAGTTCGTTCGCTTTTGAAAAATACATAAGGAGTCGTATAAGAAATCATCTTAAAAATCTCACATGCTAACTTATTTTAATAGTCGGACTCCTAATTACTTCAGAATTCTCGCCAGGCCATAAGAAAGCAATGTACAAGATATGATCGTCATCTCAATAAGGATTCCGAATTAGATATCAATACTATCAAAATAAAAATCCCATATAAAATATCTAACAATAATACGATTACAATAGCCTTCATCCGTTGCAATGCATGGGTATTTTTTCTAGTCTAAGTATAAAGTAAACATAAAGTTAACATGTGAACAGTTATTCTTAAGACAATAATCTCAGGGTCCAGCTAAACTCATTCACGCGTCTAGATCGCAGGATGAGAAGAAGAAAGGGAAAGGATAAAGTTGTTGTTTTTAGGCACGAATCCATATGTAATCTTAGGAATAAAAAAGGGAATAGCTAATCTTCTGCCCACATAAAACCATCTTCAAATCTTGCAGATCTTATACCACCGGATGAGTTTCATGATTCGTGCTCCAGGTCTTCTCCAACTTCGATGATCTGCTTTTCTTCTCCGGTGCCGGTAACACCGTAGACTCCCGCAGAGGACCCTACGAGTTAGGGTCTCAGGTTGGGATAGGGTGGGAGGGGAAGGGGGAAGAGGGGGGAGTTCGCCAGCTTTAGAGGGTTGTATATGGGAGGCGACAGCCCAGCGGTGGGCGACCGATCGGGCGGGTGGCGAGGCGGCGGCGCCGCTGCTGAAGCTGCGGGATCGGAAGCTGGCGGTAGGCTGGTGTAGGCGGCAGGGGTTAAGAGGAAAGGATGCTAGGAGAAACCGAGGAAGTGGCCAGTAGTATCACCCCGCTACCCAAGACGGGGAAGATGGCGGCGCCGGGACAGCTCGCCGCCATCGACTTGAGGAAAGAAGAGGAATGGGAGGGGGAGGGGGCCAGCCGGGGGAGGGGGGTGGACTGTGGCGCGGTGGCGGCAGGGGATCGGACGGTGGCCGCGGAATGCGCGAGGGGGACGGGAACGGGAGGAGGAGAGGAGTTATTTAATGTTTCAACAAGTATTCATATGATGTTTCACTACTTAATTCGCAAATATTTCACGTGGTGTTCTTTTGAATGTTTCATCAGGTATTTTATAATGTTGAATATAATGTTTCAACAGTTACAATTTAAAGTTTTTATGTGATAAAAAATGTTTCAACAATATTACATTTTTGCAAATATATTGTATTATTTGTATTATTTTTTCATATGTTTCACCAATTGAGATTCAATGTTAGAAACAATGGTGCTGATGTTACAGTAAGTATACTTTATATGTTACTTCTCTCTTAATTATGTAGTGATCTGAAATAATTTTTTTTCAACTGATGAAACAACGGACATATTTTTTCAGCAAAATATATTCGAGTAAGATCTTGTTATAGATATTTAATGCAAAGAATATAATGGTATAATTGGTTGGTGGATTGGATAAGTAATTTAGCAGAAGAAATTGTTTCAAGTTTGTCAAAAGTTAGTTTTTAGTATGGGGGAAAGTAGAGAGAGAAGAGCTCCGTAAGACCGTAATGGGTTTGGATCCAGTGGAGTTGAAGCGGTAGATTTAGCTAAATCTCTACTATATATTTTTTTCTACGGCTGAGAAGAAGCCACATCTCCTAATTAATTCTGTCAATCAGATGGATTTCAAGGAAAATTATTTTCTTGAAATTTAGCAATGATAACGTTGCAAACAACAAAATTAACAAAAAAAAAGGGACTAACCCCAACAACCATTAATTTTACATGTACACAGTTTCCTATCAGCAAAATTCAATTTTCCATGACGAGCTTATAACATCATGAGAAAATGGATGGACACAAAACCTGTCACCAAGCTAGCTTCTCTTCTCATCCCCTTTAGCTTCTTCCTCTTCCCCTTTCCCATATTACAATTCCTTCGAATCGTCTTTTCCCTCGAATCTCCTATATTCTGTAGCCCTCCACTAAGTAGGGATTACTCTTAATGGTGGATTAGAGGTCGTCCATGCATCGATCTGTAGCTGCAGCCCCTATGGACATGATCTATGTCCAGATCTTGAGCTGCAGCCCATCCTTGCAGATAGTCCTGATGGAATTTCCATGACATTGACATATAAGGAACAATTTTCCTAACGGGTTTTACTTTTGTATCTTGATAGGTTTTGATCGTCAGAACTAATATGGTTTCTAGGCCTTCTCCTCCAATTCTAGTGAGGCTACTCCTTTTCTATGGCGCTGGCGATGCCCTAACTCTGATTGAGCACACCAATTCCTCAAACTTCACTCTAGATTTAGCACCGTGCGCAAGCAGTCAAGCAGTTGGGGGAGAAAGTGGTGGTGCATGACACGTGAGCCCCACAAGTTTTTTTTTCTTTTGCTAGCTAAATGCCACGTAGATCGATAAGCCAACACTGTGGACCTGGTCAACGCATCACTTCAGCCAAAAACCATTCTGAAAATATTTGAGAAGTTGATTTACGCTGATTTTAATAGCTGAGGCATATATGGGCCCTGTTTGGGGAGCTTTTCCCAGCTGCAGCTTTTCCCAAAAGCTGTTTCTGCTAGAAGTTGCCCCAAACAGTCCACAGCTTCTGAGAATCTGTAGTTACAGATTCTGAAAAATAAACCAAGAAACTAGAAGCTGGAGAAGCTGGGTTTTAGAGCTTTTCCAGTTTCTCAGAAGCTGGTTATCAAACAACTGCTTCTTAGAATTTAAAGCTCCCTAAACAGGTCTATGGTCAGGGAGAGCAAAATCAAACTCCAGTTATAGTTGAGGGAGGTAAAATAAACTTTATTCGGTTAAAAAAGATCTGCGCTTGGATGGGCCGTAAAAGCCTCTTCGCCTCCTCGTCTCGCCGCATTGCCCAAGACCAGCCCTGCCACGTGCGCAGCCACCGGCGAGTCGGCGGCGACCTCGCTCTCCGGCCTTCTCCCCCCCTCGCCATCGCCGGCCGCGATGCGCAACTCCGGCGAACTGATCCTCCCGGGTTGCCCGCCCCCGATCCGCGTCTTCTCAGCCTCCATTCACCGTCGGTGTGGTGGCTTGGCTTCGCTCGCATCACCTCACCTCGCCCTCGTCGCTGGCGTCGCTCAGATTCGATCCACCTTCTGATGATCCCCTTCCCCCAAATCAATAGTCCTGTTCCATTTGTTTTTTCGGTCTTGAACTATTAGATTGTTCCTCTGATTCTTGATGCTAGTATATTTATTTATAGCTGTATAGTTTCAACTTAATGTGCACTGCATATTTATGATGGATAATGCAATGTTCATGGCTTGATGCAACCACAGAGTTATTAAGACCTTTGTTGATGTTCTTCTCCCAAACAGCATGTATACAAGGGGGTTTGATTTTCATTTCACTGTTACCTTTGGTAACCAACAATTGCAGTGGTAAGTTTATTAAGGGTTAAAATTTTCCAGTTTATCCCAAGCAGGCCAGTTATTTAGTAGTTTTAATCCAGTGCAATTAAAAGAAGTTACCCTACTACTACATTTTCCTTCTTCCACTGTGTGATTGTTTTTTTGGTCGTGTGTGCTTTGGTGTAGAAGCCGGATGCTTTCCTTTTCTAAATGAAATCCCCATAATCTAGTATCAGTGTACTAAAGGAAAATAATACTACAGATACAACTTTCTACTATGGTATAACCCGTTTACAGACGAGAAACCGATGTGTGATCGCACGAAGATAAGCACAATAACCCTTTTCCACCTTTTCCCTTTGATTAGTGAATCTTTATGTTATTCTTGTTTTTGATGCTTTTCACACGAAGATAACCTTTTCTTTTTGTACAGAATAACCAAAGCAAAAGAAGAGTGGTTGAGTGCATGTCGGAGAGAGTGTGTGCCTATATTCCTGAGGATTGATGTTGTGGCAAGGTAGCTGGGCAGGACAGGCATCGGTTCCATGCTCTAGTTTCAAGGAAGACATCGCTCCAAGTGCACGGTGGCTGCTTTTGCTGCGATAATCCCATAACATACATCAACGGAGCTGACCGATGTAAGAAGCCAACATTAAACACTGCTAGTTACCAGCAGAGCCACCCTGAAAAGCTGAAAGCAAGAAAAAATCTGAGAGAAGAGCAAGCTGACATACATCATGGAGATGATCCTGGATGCCCTTGCATCCTACCTCGGCGAGCAGTTCGCCAAGATGGTGAAAGACGAGGCAGGGATGCTGCTTGGCGCTTCTGGCGAGGTCGAGAAGCTGACAGGCATGCTGAGCAGGCTCAAGAAGTTCCTGGCCAACGCGGAGAGGCGGCACATCACCGATGCCAAGGAAGGAGAATATGTGCATGAGTGGGTGAGGAAGCTCAAGGATGCCATGTACGACGCCACCGACATCGTCGATGACGTTCATCTCAAGTCGGAGCAGCGGCGCGAGCGGTATGCGTCTCCGTATCCAGGCAGCTGCTCCAACTCCTCCTTGCTCTGGTGCTTGCAGGATCCCCTCTTCGCCCACAGGATCGGAAGCCGAGTGAAGGAGCTCAATGAGAGGATGGATGGCCTCTTCAAGCAGGCTGAAGCTGACCAGCAGGCTGACACTGACCGACTCAAATCCAGCTCAACCCCTGGCAACCCTCATAGTGGCAACCCTAGGAGGACAGCCCCCGGGATCATCCACGAAGACATCGTCGGTGACAAGATTGAAGAAGATAAGAGGATGCTGGTGGACTGGCTCATCAACCATGACAAGAAGTATCTGGTGGTTGCCATCCAAGGCGTCGGTGGGATCGGCAAGACCACCCTTGCCAAGAAGATCTTCCATGATCAGGCGATTCAAGACACCTTTGATGTAAAGATATGGTTGAGTGTCACTCAGGACTTCAATGAGGCTCATCTTCTCAAAACCGCCATTGCCATGGCAAAGTCAGATAAGCAACAAATCCCTGCCGTTGAAGACATGGCCCTGCTTGAGGATGCCCTGGTGGAAGCCCTGAGAGGTAAGATGCTGTTGCTGGTAATGGACGACATGTGGACTGAGAAGGCATGGGACAATGGGCTCAGAGTCCCAATCACCAAAGCCTGTGCTCCAGGGACTTGTGTCCTTGTAACCACAAGAAATGAAGATGTTGCTAAAGTGATGAAAGCTGCTCACACGCACCAAGTCACCAAACTAAGACTCGATGATTCCTGGACATTGCTCCAGAAACAGGTTAGGGCAGCAGATCTATTAATTATATGACTCTGCTTGATAGCTAGCTCATTCAATATCATGGTTAGCTCTGCACACACAAGAAAAGAATATCATGGTTAGCTAGGTACTTCTTTTCTAATCAAGCTTGGTCAGTATGACTCCTGTTTTATAAATGTTTCTGTGTCACATTCCTTTTGTAGTCAATCCGGCTTCATCAAAGTCAAGCAGTGTACGTAATCAATAAAACTAGTAAGATTACCTCTGCACGTTTTACAGATATTACCGGACATAGGTGGTAAAGGTGGTTCCATGAGAACTTCTGAAAAATTCGTCCCAATTTTTGTCTTCAACGCACAGAAAGAATCGTGTAATCCATTTTTTTACTTAAAACAGCAGGAGAGCCTCTTACTGTGCTATATTAATATATAGATAATACTTACACTATATTTACTACCACGGGGCAGATTAATAGTACTGCACAGGTTTCACTCTTTAGGTTTCTCTTAATTTGGGATTCAATTTCCATGAGGAAAAAATTTATTGAATTATATACACAAGCCAGTTCACCAAAAACTCAATTTTCCTCATATTTCAATGCTGTTTTCGAGGAAAAAAACTCACACTTGAATGCTTTCCAATTATGTAGGAATAAGTCTTGGCTGGTTGGTCTTGGTCTTGTGGTGCTTTTTCTTGCTTTTTAGCTTTCTAGGACAGCATCTCTACTTTCAGTTTGGATGCTCTAGGACAGCTAGGACAGCAGTTTGTTGAGATGCTCTAGGACAGTTTGTTGGGATGCTCTAGGACAGCACCCTATTGCCCTAGCATGGCTGCTACAAGCAGCTATAAATATGTACCCAATCCTCTTTGGGAGGATATGGCTTTGTGTTTTGTGAATGAAGAAAACCAGAAAATTGCCCCATCTCGAGTGCCATCCTCTTCTCAATGAGAGTAACCATTGAAATTCTAACATCTGGTATCAGAGCCACACTTTCCTGTAGGCTAAACATCTCTTGTTCCACCCCTTCCCAAGCTCGGTTGAGCTCTCAGCCAGCAGCAGCAGCAGCACTGGCTGCTCCTCCTTCCCCGTTCCCTTCCCCCTCTCCAGGCAGCAGCCCCCCGAAGGTGCGCCATGTCCGACGTTCGGTCTCGGCGTTCGGTCGCCTCGAGCACTCGGCGTCAGCAGGACGCCGAGCTCGCCGCAGTAGAAGAGCGCAGGCGAGCAACGGCTTAGACCGCTGCAGCAGCAGCGAGGGCGGCCAGACTGGCGGCAATGGAGTTGGCAGCAGCCAGGGCGGAGGCGGAAGCAGAGGCGGCGGAAGATGCGGCACGTGTGGCGGAGGTAGAGGTTGAAACCTTGCGCAGTAGCATCAACGGTTCCATCACCGGCGACAGCACCGCCGACAGGGAGCTTGAGGAGCTGGCAAGAGGAAGGGTACGGGAGCGGGCAGAGCGGTGGGCAGCAGCCCACCTCCACGGCGGCGGCCCAAGGGACCGCGCGCCCGCCGATGGGAACCCAGACGGGCGCGGGCGTGCCGGCAGCAGCCCGGAGCCCACGCGCGGCTTCGCAGGCAGCGCGGCTCTCCCTCCCCTGACCGACGCCATGGCCACCACGGCGTCCAGACGGTGGTCAGGGACTTTGGTCCCGGCTGTGGGTGGCCTACCCTCACCAAAACCAACTACATTGAGTGGGCCGCGATGATGAGGGTGAGGCTCCAGGTGCAGCACATGTGGGAGGCAGTCCGGTACGGCGACGTCGACTACGACGAGGATCGGCGGGCACTGGATGCCCTCATCGCTGCAGTCTTGCCCGAGATGCAGTTCTCGCTTTCCCAGAAGCGGACTGCCAAGGAGGCCTGGGACGCCATCGTTGCGGCACGCATCGGCAGCGACCGCGCCCGCAAGTCCACACTGCAGGCACTCCGCAAGGAGTGGGAGAACCTGGCCTTCAAGCCAGGTGAGGATGTTGATGACTTTGCCCTCCGTCTCAACACTCTTTTGCAGAAGATGGTGCAGTACGGTGACGACACCTACGACGAGGAGAGAGCTGTCGAGATGCTCTTCCGCTGCGTCCCAGAGAAGTACAGGCAGATCGCTCGCTCGATCGAGTCTCTGCTGGACCTCTCCACGATGTCGATCGAGGAGGCGTTAGGTCGCCTCAAGGTCGTCGACGGTGATGAGCCACAGCCCCTCTCGGGGCCTATCACCATTGGCGGGAAGCTCCATTTCACTCGGGAGCAGTGGGAGGCCTCTCAAGGTGACGGGATGAAGGGGGAGTCTTCTCCCTCGACAGGCGGCCGCAAGCCGCGCAAGGCGTGTGGAGGTGTCCAGCTGCGGTGGGCGCGAAGACGCGCCGAGGGTGGCGCTCGCAGAGGCGCCCAGGGCGGCGCCGCCGGCAACCACAAGCCGGCACGAGACGACACCTGCCGCAACTGTGGCAAGCTTGGCCATTGGGCCAAAGACTGTCGACAGCCACGACATGGCCAGGCCCACGTCGCACAGGTAGAGGAGGAAGAGCCGGCTCTGCTCCTGGCATACGCAAGCATCGAGCTACCCCCAGCGACACCGGCCACAGCGGCTTTCCTCCACCTTGATGAGCCGAAGGTGCTCGTCTCCCTCTGCAACAGCTCCAGCAATGACAAGGCTGATGGGTGGTACCTCGACACCGGTGCCACCCATCACATGACCGGCCGACGGGAGTTCTTCACCGAGCTTGACCCCAGCGTCCGAGGCTCCATCAAGTTTGGGGACGCCTCCGGCGTGGAGATCAAGGGCGTTGGCTCCGTCACCTTCATCGCCAAGTCCGGTAAGCACAGGCTGCTCACCGGAGTCTACTACATCCCCGCGTTAAGGAACTCTATCATCAGCGTGGGGCAGCTGGATGAGAACGGCTCACACGTGTTGGTCAAGCACGGAGTCATGAGGATTTGGGATCGCCGCCGTCGCCTTCTTGCCAAGGTAACCAGAAGCACTAATCGACTCTACATCCTCAGCGCGCAGGTCGCACAACCAGTTTGCTCGCCGCTCGTCGGGACGACGAGGCGTGGCAGTGGCACGAGCGTTTCGGGCACCTCCACTTTGAGGCCCTGAAGCAGCTCAGCGCCAAGGAGATGGTGCGAGGCCTGCCATGCCTTGACCACGTGGAGCAGCTCTGCGACGTTTGCGTGGTGACGAAGCAGAGGCGGCTCCCCTTGCCCCAGCAGACGAGCTTCCGAGCCAAGGAGCGGCTCGAGCTCGTGCACGGGGACTTGTGTGGCCTAGTGACACCGGCCACACCAGGAGGACGACGTTACTTCCTACTGCTCGTCGACGACCTCTCCCGCTACATGTGGGTGATGGTCCTCGGCAGCAAGGGAGAAGCTGCGGACGCCATCAGGCGCGCGTAGGCTGCTGCAGAGGTGGAGTGCGGCCGCAAGCTGTGCGTGCTGCGCACCGACAACGGCGGCGAATTCATGGCGGCTGAATTCGTGTCGTACTGCGCTGATGAGGGCATTCAGCGCCACTACACCGCGCCGTACAGCTCGCAGCAGAACGGCGTCGTCGAGCGGCGCAACCAGACGGTTGTGGGGATGGCTCGGGCTCTCCTCAAGTAGAGGGGGATGCCGGCCATCTTCTGGGGAGAGGCGGTGGTAACGGCCGTCTACATCCTCAACCGCTCGCCCACGAAGGCCCTAGACGGCAGGACACCGTATGAGGCCTGGCATGGGCGCAAGCCGGCGGTCTCCCACCTGCGGGTCTTCGGCTGCCTCGCGTTCGCCAAGGAGCTTGGCCACATCGGCAAGCTCGACGATAGGAGCACCCCAGGGGTGTTCATCGGCTACGCGGAGGGCTCGAAGACCTACCGCATTCTCGACCCGGAGACACAGCGTGTGCGCACGGCGCGCGACGTAGTGTTCGACGAAGGGCGAGGGTGGGTATGGGACAAGGCGGTGGACGATGGTTCGACTCTGACGTACGACTTCACTGTCGAGTACGTCCACTTCGAGGGAGCTGGGGGAGTAGGCAGCTCTTCCTCACCGAGCGTGCCTACCCCAGTCCCCGAGCCTCCACCAACTCCGGCAGCGACACATTCTCGAGCTTCGACTTCGGCTGCGACGACTTCTTCGCCAGCACCACCACAGCCGGCGACCCCACGCACTCCAGCACCAACAGCCACTCCCCTGGGCATGTCTACTCCGACGCCAGCTCGTGTTGAGCGCAGCCCGGTGGAGTTAGCTACTCCGCTCTCCACGACGGGGAGCGCATCGACGCGTACCACGACGGCGAGCAGCTCCGGTACCGTACGATGGAGGACCTTCTCGGCGACCAGCCGGTGCCGAGACTGGTGCCCCGCGACCTGGAGGCGCAGTTGCACCTTGCGTGCGACGACGGTGAGCCTCGGTCTTTTGCAGAGGCCGAGAAACACGCCGCGTGGCTTGCCGTGATGCAGTCGGAGATGGACGCGGTTCAGGAGAACTGCACCTGGGAGCTTGCTAACCTCCCTCGTGGTCACCGCGCGATCACCCTTAAATGGGTGTTCAAGCTGAAGAGGGATGAAGCCGGAGCCATCGTCAAGCACAAGGCTCGCTTGGTGGCACGCGGTTTCGTGCAACAGGAGGGGATCGACTACGACGATGCCTTCGCTCCCGTCGCACGGATGGAGTCCGTGCGACTCCTTGCGCTGGCTGCTCAGGAAGGCTGGGGCGTCCATCACATGGACGTCAAATCGGCGTTTCTGAACGGCGACTTGAAGGAGGTCTACGTACACCAGCCACCGGGATTTGTGATCCCCGGCAAGGAGGGCAATGTGCTACGCTTGCACAAGGCCCTCTACGGCTTGCGGCAGGCACCGAGGGCGTGGAATGCCAAGTTGGATTCCACGCTCAAGGGGATGGGCTTCGAGCAAAGCCCGCACGAGGCGGCCATCTACCAGCGGGGTAATGGAGGAAATGCCTTGCTGGTGGGTGTCTACGTCGACGACTTGATCACCGGCACCAAGAATGCGGAGGTCGCGGCGTTCAAGGAGTAGATGAAGGCCACCTTCCAGATGAGTGATCTGGGGCCTCTCTCTTTCTACCTGGGAATTGAGGTGTACCAGGATGACTCCGGGATCACGCTTCGACAGACCGCATACGCCAAGCGCGTCGTTGAGCTGGCTGGGCTCACCGATTGCAACCCAGCTCTCACTCCGATGGAGAGACTGAAGCTGAGCCGCGATAGCACGACGGAGGAAGTGGATGCTACACAGTACCGGCGTCTTGTGGGGAGCCTTCGCTACCTCACCCACACACGGCCGGACTTGGCCTTCTCCGTCGGCTACGTCAGTCGGTTCATGCAGCGACCGACAACGGAGCACCAGCAGGCTGTGAAGAGGATCATCTGCTACGTTGCGGGGACTCTCGACCACGGTCTCTACTACCCAAGGTGTCCTGGCAAGGCACACTTCGTCGGGTACAGCGACCACGCCGGCGACATCGACACCAGCAAGAGCACGAGCGGGATTCTCTTCTTCCTTGGCGAGTGCCTTGTTAGCTGGCAGTCAGTCAAGCAGCAGGTGGTGGCCCTGTCTAGTTGCGAGGCCGAGTACATGGCGGCCTCCGCCGCTTCGACCTAGGCGCTCTGGCTTGCTCGACTGCTTAGTGATCTCCTCGGCAGAGATACTGGAGCGGTGGAGCTTAGGGTGGATGGCAAGTCCGCTCTGGCCCTGGCAAAGAACCCCGTTTTTCACGAACGGAGCAAGCACATCCGGGTGAGGTACCACTTCATCCGAAGCTACTTGGAGGAAGGGAGCATCAAGGCGAGCTATATCAACACCAAGGACCAGCTTGCGGATTTGCTCACCAAGCCCCTTGGAAGGATCAAGTTCCTTGAGCTTTGCTCCCGGATCGGGATGGCTCAACTTTCCCACAAGACGACGCACAAGACTTAGGGGGAGAGTGTAGGAATAAGTCTTGGCTGGTTGGTCTTGGTCTTGTGGTGCTTTTTCTTGCTTTTTAGCTTTCTAGGACAGCATCTCTACTTTCAGTTTGGATGCTCTAGGACAACTAGGACAGCAGTTTGTTGAGATGCTCTAGGACATTTTGTTGGGATGCTCTAGGACAGTTTGTTGGGATGCTCTAGGACAGCACCCTATTGCCCTAGCATGGCTGCTACAAGCAGCTATAAATATGTACCCAATCCTCTTTGGGAGGATATGGCTTTGTGTTTTGTGAATGAAGAAAACCAGAAAATTGCCCCATCTCGAGTGCCATCCTCTTCTCAATGAGAGTAACCATTGAAATTCTTAACATATTATGAGCACTTCAACACTTTCTGTAATGCTGTTGCAGGTTAGATTCGAACTATTGACCTTTTAGCTCTGATATAACATTGAGTTCTATATGTCAGTCAGTTTTGCCAAGGGTATAGAATCGAATGAATAGCAATTATTGTTGTAGCCCAAAATTGCACCTGATGTCTCCAAAACCATACACATCCTGAGAAGGGGTTACTTGTGATCTAGCTGCTGTAGTGTGGCTGGACTGAATAAATCGGACTACCACAATAGTTTGGAGGTAATTTGGAATTTATCCTAAATGTTAACCATAGAAACTAGATTCAAATTAATAACACTTACAACTAAATTAATCTCGGTAAATATCTCATGGAGTCATGGTGGATCGATCTAACTTATGTTCTCGAAGCATGCTTATATTATTGTCTGATTGATATGATATATCCATATCTATCTTCCATGAAACACGATCATCAGAGATGATTTAGAAATAGCATCTTGATATATAAATAGTTTACAAATAAGTCATACTCACAGATCAGTATAAATAATTGGAAGAGATTCATAAATATGATTCGTGATAGATTGACTGCCTCTATGGGCATATCGCCAACATGGCTGGCAGGATAGGTGGTGGCATGGTTACACAAGGTACATAAGTATATAGTGTTCTTTTGGATGGCCAAAATAGTTGACTGAATGGTGCCTTCGATGCATATATCCTTGATTGGTGGCTTGTTGAACATCTCAGATATGTGATTTCAGCAGCACCTATGAAATAAAGTAGTTTCCCCTTGGCAAATTATCAAAAATCAAAAGTCACCACGGCACTGTTACAAGTCTGGCTTATATTTCTTTTAACAAATTGTGCCTTTTATTTTACTCTAGAATGTGGAATTGTTGATTAATTAAGGAACTTCTATAACTGTTTCTCATCATGAGAAAAGTGAGTAAGCACATTAAGGCTCTCTGTAACTCAAATTTTACACAATAATGTAGACAAGGAAATAAGCACAATTATTTTACACAATAATGTTTCAAGTTATGGTTCTATTTTGCTCATATTATACGTTTTTGTTTGTCTAGGCTGCCTTGAGTGTATCAGAGATCGAGATAGTACAAGAATGTGGGATGAAAATTGCAGAAAAATGTGATGGTTTACCACTGGCAATTAAAGTAATAGGAGTTGTCTTATGCAAGAAAAATGCAACAAAAATGCAACAAAAAATGCTTGGGAAGAGGTTTTACGCAATCAGATATGGTCAAAAATGGGACTTCCTGAAGAACTAAACAAGGCAATATACCTGAGCTATGAAGATCTGAGCCATAACTTGAAACAGTGCTTTGTGTATTACTCACTATTTCCTAAAGATGAAATCATTGGTATTGACAAAATTGTTTCCATGTGGATAGCTGAAGGATTCATTGGTAAAGATGGATATTCCGCACAGTCAGCTGGTCTAGATTACTACAAGGAGTTAATCAAGAGGAATCTTTTAGAACCTCAGAATGACTACTACAATGAAGAACATTGTATCATGCATGATGTTGTACACTCCTTTGCTCAGCATGTTGCCAGGGATGAAGCACTGGTGCTTCGGGACCCACAAAACAATGGAATTCTCTCTTCATCAAAATTTCGTCGGTTATCTATATCAGCAGAGCAAATAGAGTGGAGCAATTTACAGAATCAGCATTGTCTAAGAACATTGATATTGTTCGGAAACATCAAGTTGAAACCTGGCGATTCCTTGAGAATTCTTCCATCTCTACGGACAATACATGTAAGGAGTTCCAATTTTTCTATATTGCAGGACTCCTTGTGTCACCTTAAACATTTGAGATACTTGGAGCTAAGGTACACAGATATATCTGAACTGCCCCGCAACATTGGTAGGATGAAGTTTTTAGAGCACATTGGTGTTCGTGGCTGTCACCGGTTGTCAAAACTTCCCAGCAGTATCATAAAGCTAGATAATTTGAGACACCTCAGTATTGATGAGACAAAAATAAGAGCTATTCCAAGGGGTTTTAGCAGACTATTAAATTTGGATGTGCTATGGGGGTTTCCGGTTCATGGTGTTGCTCAGGGCACTGCAAAGCATTACTGTACATTGGAAGATGTTGGCCCTGTTTCGCAGCTTAGGAAGCTTAAATTAAAAGGTCTGGAGAATGCACCTTCTAAATCGGCTGCACTAGCGGAACTTGGAACCAAGAGTAGGCTGACATGCCTGGAGTTATGGTGCTCAAATGATGAGACCAAAGATGCCATCGTCACGGTTGAGCAGGAACAAATTAAGGAGTTGTTTGATCTACTTCGCCCTGCAGAATGCTTAGAGGAGCTAACTATTGGAGGCTATTATGGTGACACGGTCCCAGATTGGATTAAGATGCCAGAGGCAGCCATTTTTAAGGATTTGAGACGGCTAAACCTACAAAACTTGGTTTCTTGTATTCAACTCCCAGATGGTTTAGGTCAGCTCCCCAATTTGGACTTTTTCGTAGTCGATGATGCACCCTGCATCAAGCAAATTGGACATTGCTTGCTCTTTGAACAAGGACAAAGAAATATGGACAACAAGAAGAGTTCAAGACATGTTGCATTTCCAAAGTTACATGAGTTGCATCTTAAGGGGATGATGGAATGGAATGAGTGGACATGGGAGAAGCATGTGGAGGCCATGCCTGTTCTAAGCGTGCTTCATGTCAAAGACTGCAACTTGAGCCATCTTCCTCCTGGACTTCCTTACCAGGCAAGGGCTTTGAAGAGATTATGCGTAATAAATGCTCGGAACCTAAACTCCGTGGAGGGTTTCAGCTCGGTTATCAAGCTTGAAGTCTATGGCAACCCTAATCTCGAGAGGATTGTTGATCTTCCAAGCCTGCAAAACCTAACCATTGTGAACTGTCCAAAGCTGATGTTGTTGGATGGTGTTGCATCAGTTCAGATCATGGAACTTGGGGACCACGGGATGGAAACGCTCCCCGAGTACCTGCGACATCTGACGTTACGACATTTGAAGATTGTTTGCAGCTTGAATCTGCTCAGGTTGATGTCGACCAAGCATGATGCAAGCAGGTCAGAGTGGGAGAAGATCAGCCATATCATGCATGTGGAGGGATTCGCTAGCGATAACGGCGACGGCATCTTGAGATGGTACATGTCCTACACAAGAGATCCATACAACCTGGAGACAAACATTACAAGCAGATAGCTCCACACCACCAGGTACATGCATGGTTTTGTTCATTACGAGTAAATTAACTCCCCTTTGCCATGCAATACATATGGCATTCTCATTATATCAATCCAGAAACTAAGCGAACTGTAAATTTATTCTCTATCTGTTCTATCCGTATGTGTTCAGAAGGTGCATCAGAATAAAATGCGAAGTTGAGGGAAGAACGCGATCGTGATGGGAAGGATCAACAGGTAAATTAATCATGAAATGCCTGATTCGGCCAAGATGATGCCTGCTAACTCAGCTCGTTGAGGATTTCTCTTATTCTTGTGCACAAGAAGGTGATGGAAGAATTGGCATGGGAGGCAGGAGGATTGAGGCCATGAATTCTATCACACTTAAAAATATATCATTGGCCCAGGAAGTGCCAAATTTCTCAGTTTTTATACTCCTACTACATAGCGAAAGTACTACTTACAAAAGAAAACACTGTAAATAAGAACAGTTGTGTTCATATGCAAACAGAAACTATATATATTATCAGCAGAAGTAATTTATGTCACAAAATTTAGGGCACTTTTACTGTTTTACACTGCCCTTCACCATGACTGGCAACAATGCAGTGTGACATCCGGCGTCATCCCGGAATGAAGAGGCTTGCTAGCTAGCGGCCCATTTGGATAGAGGCCTTGGGCCTTGGCCTATTTCCGAGTGTTCTATGGTAGCAAAGCATATAGCAATGGCAATAGGAATAAGTCCACTTTCCCTCCCTCAACTCATGGCCGTTTATGAATAGCATCCCACAACCAGAAAACCAGGTATAACCCATCCCCCAATTCCAAAAACCGATGCAAATCAACTCCCTAGACGGTTTTGGAGACGGTTTTGACCTACGTGGCAGTTGACTTGCTAAGTCATCAAGCGGACCCACATGTCAGCGGTCTCCACTCTCCACCTCATCTCATATTCTCCCTCATCCCTTCCCCTCTTTCTCTTTCATATCTTCCTCTTCTCTTACCTTCTATCGGCAAGGCGGCGACTACGGGCGCACGGGGGACGAGCTCGTCGATTGGCCACGCCGCGCGCGGGGGAGCGGCCCGGCTCGAGCACGCAGAGGAGGCGGGAGGGCGCTGGGGCATCGCCGGACGGCCGCGCGCGGGGGAGGAGCTCGCCGGACGTTCGCGCACGGGGGAATAGCCCTGGTTTTGCAGTTGAGGGATACTATTCACACGCGGCCATGAGTTATGGGAGGGAAAGTGGACTTATTCCATGGCTGGCAATAATAATACACCTAGCAAGTTTGAGGGAAGCTCGAGTAGTTTATCTCTATAACCAATTTCAGGGTCTGGCCTCCTATTGGGCCACGTGGCACACTAAACATTTAGTAAGGCATCTTTAGAAAACTGCCATGTGTCCATTTAAAGCTAAAGAGCGTGCAGTATATGTGTGTTGGAAAGTATATGTCTCCTGTGTACATACGCCTATCAGAAATCTATAGAAAACTCAATATACTGCCTGGCCCTCCTGAAGAAGATGGAAAAGGCAAACCTCCCGTTTGCATCATGGTAAATAAGTGTGTACAATTTATGGCACAAAATCTATACAAGTGTAATTTTTCATGTGGTACTAGAAAAAATGATGAGGATGGTAGCTCCTTTAGAACACCTTTACAAAAATATCATGACTAATTTTATCATTTAATAGAAAACTCAACTATAATTTTACAAAAACAAAGAAACCCTAAATAGTGTGGATAGAATAAAAGAAGAAATTTAAGGATTTTCATAATAATGTGATTTGGTACATTAAATTTTAAATTAAAAATCGATTGAAAATTTTATTCGAATGTACTTTTTTTTCTCAAGGTTCAATAAAACTGCACTAATTCTTATAAAACTATGCAAAATTTATATTACCTCTGTATTTAAAATAATATCATTTTAAAAATCAACACATACTCCATTGCATATGTTTTATCATTGTTTTCCCGAACTATATGTCTATAAAAATTAAAATACAGCTATATAGGAGAGTTTTCATAAAAATCTATTAAAAAGATATTTACAATTTAATAATTTAAGATGTCAAAATTTGAGGAAGTCATTTTTTTAACAAACATAATACTTTTTTTAATAACACGAAAACAAATGCATGGGCTATAAAATAAGCACGCCAATAAGCGTGCTCAATTTTCTACCAAGACTTGAATTCCAAGCTCTAATAACACCGGTTTGAACTGCTTTTGCATGAAGCGAGGGTAAAAACGTAAAAATTTACAATAAAGGTATGACCCAATAAATTGATATGGGCTTAGGTTTATACCCTAGGTGTTTCAAATGGTATCATAGCATGGTTATATGCGTGTGACTAATTTATATCCTAGGCGTTGGTGGCATTAATTGTATCTAGTATGGTATGGTTACACGTGTGTGACTATTTTAAGCCTTAGACTTTGGTATGTCACAATGGTAGGTGTTACAAATAGTATCAGACCCACGATTATAAGTGCATATAAGTTAGTATGTCACAGTTTGTATCGCTTATAGCCTGCTGGGATGTCACAATCATGGGTAACTTTGGTTACCCAAAAATACGTATGAAAGGAAAATCCTCTGGCTGAGCTGTTCGGGAGAGGAAACAAAAACTTTTCCAGCACTGTGCAGAAGTGAAAGCTTTCTTTCTCATAAAAAAGTTAGCATGAACACTGAATAATACATGGAAATTTCAGATCCAAATCTCAATCTGAAGCTACAAAACTGGATAAACCAATAGTCAATTCAGATTCAGACATCATTTTTCAAAACAAATTAGAGCAGAATATCGAATAGGAACAGGAAAATTCAGATTGAGGAGAAGATTTATGAGAATAATCTATATGGCACCTACAAAAATAGGAACCTGTAGTTGCATTAGAAGAAGATTTGCACCCAAAAAAATGGAACCAAGTGATGGAGACACAATGCAACTGCAAGAGGATGCTAGCAACTCAGAAGGAGATCGGAGAAGAGAGAAGTGTCTCTGATGAGCTCCAAGACGATGCGGTTCCTCATCACTGACGGGTTATAAACAAAGGCCGTCACAGGTGACCTCATCTGTGCTACTTCAACCCGTCATAGGTGAGTTATCTGTGACGGGCATCAAGGTAGATACGTCATAGAATGGGTACACGGGATGTCACCTTTAGACCCGTCACAGGCGTCTCACCTCTAATGGGTTGTAACCACCCCTAGGCTTGCGGAGACCCTCACCTCTGATGGCCGGAAAATACTGGCCCGTCAGATGTGACTATCACCTCTGATAGGCTGTCCCCGTCAAAGATGAGTGGAATCATAAAGATGAGTGGAATCATCAGTGACCAGAAATCTCTGACTAGGGCTAAACTCATCAAAGGTGAGGGTTTGGACCCATCAGAAATAACCTGATCCGACGTAGTACCACGGGCTGATGTCTGCACATGTGATTTTGAGGTCGATTTTCTCCGCTACCCGCAAGATTGAGCATACCATGGTCAGTTTGGAAACGACAGTGGGATCAGTGTTTGTATACTAGCTAAACATAAATTAGCTTAAATTAGATGACACTTTACAACGAGTGGTAGCTATGAACCTCAGAGACAAACCATATCATGTCAAAGATATAATTTGTAGTTTTCTTTTGTTTATTTCTAACGATACAAAGTAGTATAATCTCTTCTCTCCAACTAGCTAGACTGCAGAGTTGATTGATCATCTTATAATTAATTCTTCGGTAAGCTAGCGGCAGATTATGTACGGCCGACCTGTCTTCCCTTTATTCGTTACTTCCTCCGTTTCACAATGTAAGTCATTCTAGTATTTCCCACATTCATATTGATATTAGATATATATGGTTAGATTCATTAATATTAATATGAATATGAGAAATACTAGAATGACTTACATTATGAAACGGAGGGAGTAACACTTAACACTGAGCCACTACCTTAGTATCACTGCTCGCTCTTCTTTTTATCGATCGTCTTCATCAGCTCCCGCATCTGTTCCTCATCAAGAGGTAGCCTCGTCTCTGTGCACAATGTGTGTGCCATCATGAATCCATTCGGACCATTCATGAAAGATGGAGCATTAGAGAGAGGGTGATGAATGCTATGGACATGCGAAGGAGGCGGAGGAGGAGGAGGATGTTTGGGGATGAAGAACAAGTTGCCCATTAATAGAGATCGACAATAGATATTCTCTATGCACGACAGTTGTCTTTTCTTTCTTTCTCAGTGTTTGTATTTTGTGTACCTGTCTGTCTGTGGGTGTAGTTGTGGTGCTAGCCCTTTAAATACTAGCCAAAGGATCTTTTTTTTCCTCTTCTTCCTTTTCAAGGAAATAGCCAAAATATTATTCGCTGGTGCAGAATAAAAATGTTTGCACGGTTTGCATTGATGTATGGATTTCGACTAGGCAGTCGACCTTATAAGGTATTTGCTGACAAGCTTTCTCTTGAGACACGTTGTCTGTCGGAAAAAAAAAACCCTTTAACGACATACTATAGGATAACACTATAGTGCTTTTGACGGCAGATGAGCTATCGCAACTTTTAGGTCACGGTGTAGTGTTATTAGCTTCTCGTAGGTACCAAATTAATTTGTAATTTCCTGATCATAGGCTATGAAATCTAGATTACATCTCCTTCTAACGAGCGATTAGATCGAATAAAATATCCACATTTGGTCCACTTGTCGAAAGCATCAAAAGGAACATAGTGGGAAAAAGAGAAAAAAATTAAAAGAGAAAGGACATTTTGCATACACATCTGTTTATGTCTATGTGTCCAACCTTGAGTGCTATTGGTGGTTGTACTCTGCGAAAATTCTGGCTAACTCTCAAGCAAGTGCTTAACACTATTGATGCCCTAAGCATATATTCCAATGACCACAGTTTGATCACATCCATATATTCTGTTGGCCACCACTGCCATCATCACATCTTGAGAATCAAACACTCCCTCTCTGTGTTTGCACATTGACCTAGCTCACTTATGGTTCTAGCCTGTGAACCATGAAATTTGTCATGCCAAATAATAGATTTTTAGTTGGATGGCAATAATCTGCTTCTTACAGCAAATATCATATCTTTCTTATAGTATTTAGAGCTGATTATCTTTTAGAGGCTTCGATATTATTGCCATTAAAACACCAATTAGTTTGCTTTGATATTATTGCCATTAAATTCCAAAAGTAAAATTTGGACGATAAAAATATCCCCTAGAAGTCAAACTTACATTTCCACACTCCACCTTACAAACTGAACTTCATAAAAATCCCCTCCAAGTTAAACTTTATTGTCTACTCCCTCTGTCCCAAAAAAACTCAACCTAATATGGGATGAGACATAATCTAGTATAATGAATCTAGATAAAAGTCTAACCAGATTCGTTGTACTAGATTATGTCCCATCCTATACTGAATTAAGTTTTTTTTTGACGGAGGAAGTAGGCCTCTGCTGCGCTATGCCTTCCTCGCCAAGGCAGTGTTTGGTTGCCTCCTTGGAGCCTTCCATAGTTGTAGTGTAAGGGCACCTTTGAGGCACAGCAATTTTGTAGGATTTTCACATGAACAGTTCAATTTTCGTGAAATTCCTGCAAAAATCCTCTGTTTCCATGGAGGAAGTGTTTGATCTCTGTTTCTACCATCGTTTGAGTAGTGTTCCAGTTCTCAATTGAACCAAGTGCACTTCTCTCTAGTCTCCACTTGTTTGGTCCATTTTGGGGCAACATTAGAGGTTGCCTGTGTGGAGATGGCATCAGTGTCACACTAGTTAGTTTTGTTATAGGGAACATCCTGTTTAGCTTTTGGTGATCTTCCTTAATTTTCTTAATTTGCTTGTGTTAGAAAGGCTATATTTGACTGAAATATATATTATACACACATATGCTTGATGTATGGGTGCATCAGACATCACTCAGCAACTAACCACTAATCACAAGTGAGTATATATCACTGAAACAAGGATAGTGAAAGCTCTTGAAGAAACAAGAGAGAAATGGGAAATTTATTCATTATTAACCCTGGTGGCCCTTCTTGATCATATCTTGAATTCAATGTCCATAATCCTGGGCCTTCTTTTGATCTCCATTTTGGGGCAATAATTAATAATCCTAGGCAGCTTTCTTGCTTCTTCACCAGCTCTTGACACCCTTCGTTAGGAAATTGAATGCTCGGAGAAGCGGCTTCGGCTCATTCATAAAACTTGGAGGATCATCAACTGGAGGTTGATGAATGCTATGGAGATCGGAAGGATGACGAGGAACAGGGATAGTAGGTTTTCCTGGCTTGAACCACAGGTTGCCCATTAATTACTAATAGATCAACGATACTAGTATACAGATGATATATGCCTATGGCTGTGTTTAGATGGTGGAAAAGTTAGGAAGTTGGGAGAAAGTTGATAGTTTGGAGAAAAAGTTAATAGTTTATGTGTGTAGGAAAGTTTTCGATGTGATGTGATGTGATGAAAAGTTGGGAATTTGGGTGACTAAACACGGCCTACATATGACCGGTATATTAGTGTTTGTGTTTTGTGTTCCTGTCTGTGGGAGGAGTGGTTCTAACCCACTTTAAATACTAATCAAAGGATCAAAATTATTCGGCGCAGAATAAATCTGTTCACATTGACTTGACTAGCGTACTAAGTTAAGTTAAGGTAATTTTACCATCCTTAAAAATATATCGAAAGATACCATATTTTATAATACAAGTATCTTGAGGTATTAATTTTTTATGTAAAATTTAGTTACCTCAAACTTTTTTGTTAATGACCGTAAAATTTCTCACAAACTAATATGACCGGCTGGTCGATCACTTTCTTGTAGGTAGGGGTGAAAATGGTATGGAAACTTTCTGGATTCCGGACCTATTTTCGAAAAAGAAATCTATCAGTCGGAATTTTTTGGAACGGGAAACGAATTCAGAAATATTTTCTCGGAAATGGAATCGAAAATGATAAGGGTATTTTCTGTCCGGAACTCGGAATCGGTCGGAAACTTTTCGAAAATTTTCTCGGAATTTCCAGAAATTTTGTGACTGAAATAGTTTGGATTCTTTTTTTAATCACTGAATAGTGAATAATATAGTATTTGGCTGTTATTTTTTAAAAAATATTTGTTATGCAAATCTAAAATTACATAAGAATATTTTTTTTTCTGTATTGGAATTTATCAACATCATTACTCTCTTAAATATAGATAATTTATCCATAGATTGTGTTTTGTTATATAATGTTGATACTTAACAATTGGACTTATATGATTGTATTTTATGATTGATTAGTAACCATTGAGACTTGAGAATTGGATTTATCAGTTTGAGGGGTTTTTTATTCCGATAAATTTTCGTTACCGTATTCTCGCCGATTCGTTTTCGCTCCGTTCTCGGTTTCGATAATATTCAATTCTGTTTTCATATCCGGGGTTTCCGATTCCGAAAAAGATATGAAAACGAAAACGATAAACATGTTTTCCATCCGTTTCCGTACCGTTTTCACCCCTACTTGTAGGTATAATTTTAATTCTTTCTTGATGATTATATATATGAGGTGAACTTTTGACTGCATGACCGTTAGTTTTAATGCAATCAATTGCATCTCCTTCGTCTAATTTGATGTTTAGGTTTGCTCGCTGTAATTTTTTTTTAATAACACGCAATAAGTATTTTTTCTTCTAATAGATAAGTCCATTTGATGTATATGAGCAATAAGTATTTGATGTATTTGCCCCCTCCGATCTCAAGCTGCATAGGCCTCGGCCAGCATACATGTATACGATCATGGATAAGTCCATTTGATCCCTAAACTCTTTGCTTTGTCGAAAACACATGAAGACACATCTCGACTCTAAAATTGGGTATTTGACACCATCTAACTTTCAATACTGGTAACACCCAAACTTATGGGCTTTCCTCGAAGAGGGAAATGCTACAGTTTCTGTCTTTTATCTCTCGAGTTCTAACTACTCTATGATTGAGAACTTCCTCTTCTGCTTCCGTTTCTGCCATAGTAGTGTCGGTGGCGACTGATACTGAGTAAGAGAAAGTAGGAATAGAAAGAAGAGGTGGATGCCGGAGATACGGGCCCGGGGGTATGTGAGGTAAAGAGGAGTCACCTTCCTGTCCAGCCACGTGGCACTGCAAGCTGGCCCCACTCACGCACCTCGTGGGTCGCGAAAGCGGCGGGGGAGGGGGGGGCCTCGGGGTGCGGCATCCCCCCCTCGGGCTCTCCCGCTGCTTCGCCCCGAGGCCCTCGCCCAGCTGCCGCGTGGTGGGGGGAGAGAGCGAGAGGGGGACCCAGGCTGGACAACCATAAATACGCGGCGCCCCAACTGTCCCTCACTATGTGTAATGCGGTGAGGGCAGACGTGCGGCACGCCTAACTGACCCCTATCAATCGGATGTGACCAGTCTGTGACTGGCCTGTTGCCGGTCACGTCCGATTGAACGGGCGGCCGTGCTCCCACGTCACCTTTGTATCCGGCGGAGTGGGGGTAAGTGTGACCCGTCACATCGGAGCATCACTCGAAGAAAGGCTGCCACAAGTCTTCACTTATTTATGAGCGAATGACAGGGCTGTCCCCCGTGTCAGGCGGGGGACGACGCCGGGTCCCACTCAAGGACCGGTTGCTGCATAGCTTTCGGGAGAAGGCATGGATCGAGACTCGGTCAAAGTGGAGTGGGGTCCCCCTCCCATTGGGGGGAGTAGGTAGAGGCGGCGCATGTGGTATCCCCTTGAGCTATAAAAGGAGGACCTTGCCCACCGAGATAAGGGGACGACTCTTAGAAAACCTGAACTCTAGGAGAAGGAAGGCGATAGCGCTCTCCGGAGTAGAGGAACCCTTGTAAAACTCATACATAATCCCAAACGCAGGAGTAGGGTGTTACGCTCCATAGCAGCCCGAACCTGTATAATCCGATTGTGCGCAAGCTAGCCGGCAGTTTCAGGGCGAACGCGTGATTCCCAAGAGGCGAGCTTCTGCCCCCGGCCGAACTCACGAAAGGGGGGTCTCACGACTCCCCGCTATCGAGGGTCTTCCCTCGACAGCTGGCGCGCCAGGTAGGGGGCAGTTGCGCGTTTCGAGAAGAAGTCGTTTTCTTCCGCCCCAAGTTTCTCTGGGCCCTAGACGATCATGGTCGAGGTCCTGGAGGTGGAGGAGGCGGTGGCGTTTACCCCCACCCCGTCCGGGAGTGGGGATTCCGGCGAAAGCCGTGGCCCTCGTCACCACCGCCGTGATTCTCCAACTCCTCCGCGCCGCGAACCCTCGCGGAGGGAGGA